AGCAGCAGTGGCGGGAGCCTCTCCCGCCTCTGCGGCAGCACTAAGGATCAGTAAAGAGCAGCGAGCAGGCAGGCAGTAAGGAGCAAGGGGTCCCGGACTGTGAGAGGGATGTCTGACTGCCAGCTTAGGCCCAATCCCAGGGGGACATCCCCTGAGGGGTTCTGGACTGTGAGAGGGCGCAGGCCAGGCTGAGGGGACCCCCCCCCCAGTGCATGATTTTCATTCACTGGGCCTCTAGTAATACTAATAATTTTAAAAGAAAATAAAAATTGTTGGTGAGGATGAAGAGAAAATGAAATCCTCATGAATTTCTGGTGGAGATGTAAAATGGTCCAATTGCTTTGGAAAACATTTTGACAGTTCTTTAAAATGTTAAGTTTTACTTCTAGATATATACCCAAGACAAATGAAAGCAAATTTCTACAAAAAAATCTTGGACATGAAATTTCATGGCAGCATTATTTATAATAGCCAAAAAATGGAAGCAACCCAAATGTGCATGAAGTGAAGAATGGATAAACAAAAGTGGTATATCTATACAATGGAACATTATTCAGGAATAAAAGGGAATGAATTAGTAGTACATGCTACAACATTGAAGAACCTTGAAAACATTATTCTAGGTGAAAGATGTCAGTATAATTCCATTTATATTAAATATCTATAACATGCAAAGACATATAAATAGAAAGGAGATTAGTGTTTGCCTAGGGCTGGGATGGGGGAATGGGAAATTTGGGGGACTGATAGTTAAAGGTTATAAGTCTCTTTTTATGAGATGACAATGTTCTAAAATTGTGGTAATGTTTGTACAATTCTGTGAATATACAAAAAACATTGAATTGTACATTTTAAATGGGTTGATTATATGGCATATGAATTTTGTCTAAATAAGGCTGTTTTCTTTTTTGTGCAAGAATGTTTAGAAGAGCTTTATTCATAATAGCCAAAAATAGGAAGCAGCTCAAATGCCTATCAAGAAGTCAACAGGTTAACAAATGTGGTAGTCATACAATGGAATACTTAACAATATAAAGGAAAGAACTCCTTTTATCCCATAATATGGAATAAACTAGAGGCCTGGTTCACGAATTCGTGCACCAGTGGGGTCCCTTGGCCTGGCCTGCAGGATTGGGCTGAAGCCAGCTCTCTGACATCCCCCAAGGGGTCCCGAATTGCAAGAGGGTGCAGGCCAGGCCGAAGGACCCCACCAGTGCATGATCGGGGCTGGGGAGGGACAGAGGTTGGCCAGCCAGGGAGGGGCCGTGGGAGGGCTCCAGGGTGTGTCCAGCACATTTTGCTCAGTCCTGATCGGCCAGACCCCAGCAGCAAGCTAACCTACTAGTCAGAGCATCTGCCCCCTGGTGGTCAGTGCACATCATAGCGAGCGGTTGACCAGCCTTAGCATATCATTAGCATATTATGGTTTGATTGGTTGAGCAGCCGATTGGACAACCATACACTTAGCATATTAGGCTTTTATTATATAGGATGTTTTAAAAAAACAACACATGAGAAGCAAAAGAAGCCAGATAATAAGAATACATACTGCATGATTCTATTTACATGAAATTCTAAACCAGGAAAGATGAATCCATAGTAATAGAAATCAGGACAGTTGTCTTTCAGAAATCAGGTGGTTGCCTATTGTGGGTGGAGATTGCCTGGAAAGTGGTACAGGGAAACTTCTGGAATGAGGGACATATCTGGAGGAAATACCCTCATTGGGGTGGTGGTCACATGGATGTTTGCATTTGCAAAACTAAAATCTTCAAATTGTACATATCAGATCTGTGCATTTCACTGTATATACATTTTGCCCCAATGAAAAGAAAAATACATAAACACCTTAAACTCACATACTATCCTCATGGACTCCCAGGAGCTCTAGGGACCTCAGAATAGGAATCAGCTCTGGATTAAATATTCCTGCATTCATTTTCTTCAATGAGGTTAACAGAACAGAAGGTGATCTTTGAGTTGGGCTTTGAAGCATTATCAAATAATCACAAAGTAAAGAAAGGTATTTCAAGCTGATGGAACAGCATGAAAAATGGTTTGTATTCTTGAAATATGAATGATATGATGTGAATAAAAAAGGTATGTGTGGGTGGTTTAGGTAGGTACTGGGTGGGAGATAAGCTTGAGAAAGTAGCCTGGGGACTTGAATGGTGTTCTTAGGAGTTTGCATTTAATCTCATCAAGTCAATAGAGATTCATGAGTGGATTCTGGGCTGGAGACTGACAAAGTCAAATAGATTTCCATTTTATGGAGCAAGCCCTGACAACAACAGTCTTAGGACAAATGGTAAAAGGCAAGAATACCGATTAGGCTTTTGTAACCCTTGTAATCTGCAGAGGCTGTCTCTGGAGGCTTTTTAAATTGTTTTCTCTCTTAAAGAATTGGAATTTTAATTGGAGTCACAATGAATTTGAGTCAATTGGGAGAATTGACACCTTTTATATATCTTTCCTAGTCATAAACATTGACTATCTCTTCAGTTTTTTATGTCTTTTGTTAATTTCTTTTCTATCTTAAAAAATAAAATTTTATTTTAAATTACAGTTGATGTACAATATATTAGATTTAGGTGTACAACTTAGAGATTAGATATTTATAAATCTAATACCCATCTGACACCATATATAGTTATTGCAATATTATTGACTATATTCCCTATGCTGTACTTTACATCCCCCTGACTATTCTGTAATAACCAATTTGTTCCCTTCACATTTTTCACCCAGCCCTCAATCCCCTATGGCAACTGTCAAAATGTTCTCTGTATCTATGATTCTTTCTGTTTAGTTTGTTCATTTATTTTGTTCTTTAAATTACACATATAAGTGAAATCATATGGTATTTGTCTTTCTCTCTCTGACTTATTTCACTCAGCACAATACCATCTAGGTTTACACGTGTTGCTGTAAATGGCAAGATTTCATTATTTTTTTATAGCCCAGTAATATTCCATTGTATGTATGTGCCAACTCTTCTCTACCCCTTCATTTACTAATGGGAACTGAGGCTATTGTAAATAATGCTGCAATGAACATTTGGATACCTATGTCTTTTTGTATTAGTATTCTGGGTTTCTTCAGATAAATACCCACAAGGGGAATTGTTGGGTCCTTTTTTGGTCTTTTGTTATAGCCTTTGTTATAAAGTCTATTTTGTCTGGTATAAGTATTGCTACCCTAGCTTTTGTTCTTCAATTCCATCTGCATGACATACCTTTTTTCCTCCCTTTACTTTCAGTCTATGTGTATATTTTGATATTAAGTGAGTCTCTTGTAGACAGCATATGTGTGGGCCTTGTTTTCTTATCCATTTTGCCAAACTATGTCTTTTGATTAGAACATTTAATTTAATTTTCATTTAAAGCAATTGTTGAGAGTATATATTTATTGCCATTTTTTTACTCATGATTTAGCTGCCCTCCCTTCTACTTCTTTAAGAGGACTCTTTAACATTTCTTGTAATACTGGTATGGTGATGATAAACACCTTTAACTTTTTCTTGCCTGGGATGCTGTTTATATGTCCTTTAGTTCTAAGTGATAACTTTGTTGGGCAGAGTAATCTTGGTTGTAGGTTCTTGATTTTCATCACTTTGAATATTTCATGTCAATTCCTTCTGGCCTGTAGTGTTTCTGTTGAGAAATTAGCTGAAAGTCTTATGGGAACCCTTGTAGGTAAGTAACTGCTTTCCTCTTGCTGTTTATAAGATTCTCTCTTTGTCTTTAACCTTTGACATTTTAATTATGATGTGTCTTGGTGTGGGCCTCTTTGGGTTTATCTTGTTTGGGACTCTCTATGCTTCCTGGACTTATATGTCTGTTTCCTTCACCAGGTTAGGGAAGTTTTCTGTCATTATTTCTTCAAACAGGTTTTCAATTTCTTGTTCTCTCTCTTCTCCTTCCAGTACCCCCATTATGTGAATGTTGGTATGCTTGATGTTGTCCAAGAGATCACTTAAACTATTGTCATTGTTTTTTTATTCTTTTCTTCCTTGTGCTGTTCTGATTGGGTGTTTTCTGCTACCCTGTCTTCCAAATTGCTGATTCAATCATCTGCTTCATCTAATCTACTATTGATTCCCTTTAGTATATTATTAATTTCAGTTATTGTATTCTATTTTCCCACCATGACTTTATCATTTTTCTTAGTTTGAAAAGTAACACATGCTAATCTTTTTTTTTTGGCACCAGAGTTTAGGACTTTTAATTTGTCCCATAGCTGCTGAAGCAAAATTATGATAAAACGTTCTGCTTTCCTTTATATCCCAACACACACACACACACACACACACACACACACACACACACCACACACAAACACAAAAAAAAACTATTTGTAGGAAAAAAATGGTTTTGTACACGGGAAGAAACAATATAAATTCAAAACTTACAGATAAGGGTTAGCTCTACCACTCATCTCTTTAAAAAGTTTATACGAATATCCAGTCAAAACCAACAGGTTATCTCCTTTGAAATGTTATCTAAATGGATTTCCAAGTAGACCACAGGACTGTATACTGTCTTGGAATGTCCTTAGAAGGCTCTGTCATTGATCAGGTAACATAGTAAAAACACCAGAGTCCTTTCTTTTTCAAATGGAAGAGGGAAAGAGGGATAGAAGAAACTATTCAAACTTCATCTTCTTTTCTTGTGGCTTATGGTCTCCTCCTCCTCCTCTGCCTCCTCGGAAGCCTCCTTGACCTTCAAAACCTCCCCGGCCTCTGCCACCAAGTCTACCTCGGCCCCCTCTGCCTCCAAAGCCACCTCTGCCTCCACCATGGCCCCCGAAGCCACCCTCACCCTTAGGCTTGGCCCAATCCAAAGTAACTTTGTTTCCATCAATTTCACCATCTTCCATGGCCTCCTTAGCAGCTTTGGCATCTTCCACACTATTGAAGTCTACAAAACCAAACCCTTTGGAAGAGCCCGTATCCCAGTCAGTCACTATCCTTGCCCGGACAGAGCCATCAAATGGACTCCTTCAATGTCTCTTCCGTAGTCTCCTCGACAGACCTTTGACAAATAGAGTTTTGGATGGCTGGCTTCTTGCATTAGGCAATCCTCTGGGTCCTTGCAATTCCAGCCTGATTGCTCTGCCCTCAATTTCTCTTTTATTACAGGAATTTAAAGCTTCTTTAACATCTTCAAATAAAGCAAATTCTATAAATGCATACCCTTTAGATTTGCCATTTTGGTTCTGGAGCACTTTGATAAAAGTTGCCTTTTCAAATACTTCCTGAAGAGTTTCTTCTGTTGCACTGTAGGAAAGGTTGCTTAAAACAAGAGTTTTTGATTCACCACTCCAAGTGCTGTTCTTTCCATCCCTATGGTCTCGATTTTGACCTTTCCAGTATAGTACAGAGAAATGGATCGCCCATCTATTTCTGTCCCTTGCTTTTCTTCCAAGGTTTTCTCTGCATCAGCTTCTGTCTTAAATTCAATATAAGCAATCCCTTTATTCTTCCCATCCTTGCTGACTAATCTGGTCTCCATAGCATCTTCAAACACTTCTTTTAATTCATCCTGAGTAACTTTACCACATAAGGCAGATTTTTTTGCCAAAAGTGTTCTTGCATCTCGATCTTTTTTACTGTCTTTTCCCTTTGGTTTTTCTAGTTTAATTTCATTGCCAAAGACTTTTAAACGAGTGAATTCTAAGGCTTTTTCCAGGTCCTCAGCAGATTCAAAATCCACATAGCCAAACTTCCTTTAAGGTGATAAGGCAAAGGATAAAAATTAGTTTTAAAAAAACAGAAGACCCCTCATTAACATGTTATTCTAGACAAACAGCAACACTAATGCGATGGGGCAAACGGATTAAGTTAAAAAGCACCATACTCTATTAGCAAAATTAAGTAAGACTGAAAACTCGGGATACAGACTGAGGTGTAAGTACCAAGACCTAATGCAGATCCACCTGAGTTTGTCTTTTTAAAAAAAATATGTTTCATTGACTTTCCACAGAGAGGAAGGGAGAGGGACAGAGAGCTAGAAACATCGATCTGTTGCCTCCTGCACACCCCCTACTGGGGATGTGCCTGCAACCAAGATACATGCCCTTGACCAGAATCGAACCTGGGACCCTTCAGTCCGCAGGCCGACGCTCTATCCACTGAGCCAAACCGGTTAGGGCATGAGTTTGTCTTTATTAACTACACTGCTCATAACAGCTAACAAAAGAACTTGTTAAAGCATCAAGGTAGGAGAATCCTATCTGGTTATTTGTATCTAATAGTTTCAAATTAAATATTTTTAAGAATAAAAGCTCATAGCTTATTAAAAATTATTTTGTGCTATATCAAAAGTTTAGGGAGATTATGGAAACTCCAATTGGGGGAGGTCATACAATTTAATAATCTAAGTAACACTTCATTAATGTCTCAACTTTGAAGACACATTCATGCTTAAGAGTAAAGTACTAATGTTCTAAAAAGGGAGGGAAAAAAGCATTAGCAGACCCAGGAGTACAATGGCTTAACTCCCCATACCTACCTCGACACACCAATTCTGACATCCACAACAGCAAGATCGTTTTTAGCAAAAACATCACTGATACCCGTTGCAATCTTTTTTGTTGGGGAAACCATCACCTTCTTTCCTGGAGTTATGGTAGTCTTCTTGCCTTTTTTCTGAGGAATGATAATCTCTTCTCCACTGCTTTCATCTTCTTCATCTGACATTTCTTCATCTTCACTATCTTCTTCTACCTTCTTTGGAGGAGGAGCCATTTTCTTGGGGTCACCTTGATTTTTACCAGCCTTTGCAAGCTTCACCATGGTGGCGGCTTATGACGGTGGAGTATGTGGCGGGTGAGTGGCGCAGATGTGCCCAGAGGAACCAAATGGCGTCGATGGCGGCCGCTGGTACTGAAGAACCGGAGCGCGTACGTCTCGCTACCAGCTAGAGCTCAAGACTGAGGTGAAAGACTCAACACATGCTAATCTTAAATACAGAAACAATCCATGATGTACAAAGTAAAAACAATAATTTGCACACACATATATGTCCTGACTCCCACCTTCACCAAATCTTTGTTTTTGCCATGAAGTAATCAATATTTATAGCCCACATGCATTTCTACAGATCTTCTCTATGGTCATATAAATATACACAAGAGGTTTAACATTCTGTTCAATGTTTCTATGTCTCTGGGCCTATTTTTGTTCATCAGTTTATGTTGTTCATTAGATTCCACGTATGAGCGAGATCATGTGATGTTTATCTTTCTCTGAGGAGCTTATTTCGCTTAGCATAATGCTCTCTAGGTTCATCTATGCTGTTGCAAATGGTAAGAGTTCTTTCTTTTTTACAGCTGGGTAGTATTCCATTGTATACATGTACTACAGTTTTTTAATCCATTCATCTGCTGATGGGCACTTAGGCTGTTTCAAGATCTTAGCTACTGTAAATTGAACTTCTAAGAACATAGGGGTGCATATATTCTTTCTGATGAGTGTTTCTGAATTAATGGAATATATTCCTAGAAGTGGAACCACTGGGCCAAATGGGAGTTCTATTTTAATATTTTTAGGAAACTCCAAACTGTTTTCCACAGAGGCTGCACCAGTTTGTATTCCCATCAGTATTGTACGAGGGTTTCCCTTTCTCCACATCTTTGCCAACTCTTGTCATTTGCTGATTTGTTGAAGATAACCATTATAACAAGTGTGCTGTGGTAACTCATTGTTGTTTTGATTTGCATCTCTTGGATGACTAGTGACTTTGAGCATTTTCTCATATGCCTTTTGGACTTCTGTATGTCCATTTTGGAGAAGTGTCTATTTAGGTCCTTTGCACATTTTTTAATTGGATTGTTTATCTTCCTTTTGTTAAGTTGTATGGGTTCCATATAAATTTTGGGGGAACCCCTTATCAGATGTATCATTGGCAAATATGTTCAATGCAGTAGGCTCTCTTGTTATTTTGTTGATGGTTTCCTTTGCTGTACAGAAGCTTTTAATTTTAATGTAATCCCATTTGTTTACTTTCTCCTTAGTTTCCATTGTCTTATGAGATGTATCGTAAACATATTGCTACAAAATATGTTGGAGATTTTGCTACCTATGGTTTCTTCTAGGATTTTTATGATTTCACAGCTTACACTTAGGTCTTTTATTGATTTTGAGCTTATTCTTGTGTATGGTGTAAGTGTGTGGTCTAGTTACAATTTTTTTGCATATATCAGTCCAATTTTCCCAACACCATTTATTGTAGAGACTGTGTTGACTGTGTATGCTCTTGCCTCCTTTGCCAAATACT